CCCGGGTTCGTGCCTATCGTCCTAGGAAAAAGAACACGTTTATCCGTAATGAAGAAACATGCGTGCCGTTTAATACATAAGATTAAAATAATAGCATTAAAAGTGTGCTAATTCTAATATCTAGACGGCATTCGAATAACATGTCACTATTCAGAATATATTTTGATGAATACTGGGGATACAATTGCAAGATAGTACAAATTTATTCATCTTCACTCTCGAATATGCTTAGTGCTGACTGTATCTTTCATCTAATTAAAGGTACTGCAGTCGGAGATTAGTTAATTACGTAACGAAAGGCGGGCAAACTGATATAACCTACGCTGTAACATTTACGAGTCCCCCATGGGCACTGCTACCACCTGCTAATACACTGTAATTTGTGTAATTAACTTAGTAGCTTTGATCTTGTTTGTTAAAATCCACGCCAATCATAAGTTGTGCTGATAATCTTTGGTTAAATTTATGAACATTTGAAGTTAATTTCAATGTTGTTGAATAAACTAATATTCTTTAAGGGCATTTCATAAAATTATAATATTATATCTGTGTGGTTGCAGTTACGTACTGGATTGAAAAAATGTCATTATTCCTGCCACACTAAGGTAAATTGGATAGTTAAGAGTATTGAAAAATAACTTAATCATTTATCAGCATGTTTAATCATTAATTATTATAAAATAGAAAATTATAAAACTCATAATAAAAATACAATCCATATTGTTTAGTTCAGACCGTTCAGACTAAAGCTCAGTGTAAGGTAGTGTTAAGGGTGTTAGAATAACGAATTACTAATAATTATATATAAAGATGTGTCATATTATATAAACAGATAAAACAATTAGTGCGGTAATTAATTCACTACCAACTAATCAATTATATCAAACAGATAGTATAAAACTGTATTATTCCGTTTCATGCATTATTAAATGTAACATTCTTTCATCAGAGCTCTGTTTCAACAAAATGAGTGATCCGTTTAGGTTTCTTCATCGAGTATTCGATTTTTTACTGCACTTAGTATTATTATTTCAATTGATAATATAGAACGATCGACTATATATATATACCTTCCTTATACCTTACATCATTTTCACAGTAAATATTGTTACAATGAGATGAGTGCTAACATTTTCCACTTCCTAAGTCCAACTGAAACACATCCACAAGATTTCTTACCTTTTCCCAAAATTCAATTAAAGTCTGGTCGTTATTCACTTAACTACGTCTTTAATCTTCTCAAGACAGTTATACAGCCACCGATCTTTCCACTTAAATTAACTAGTTTACACAGTTCACAAGATTTCTCAACTATTACAATGTTTCGGTAAATCGTAGTCCTTTATCAGTTTAATATTTTTGTATTACTAATACTCTGAATAATATTAAACATTTTCAAATCGTATAAAGTCCACACGAGGTTATTTAATGTATAACTGTTAAATGTGAAATTTCGGAAAATATAACGTTATAGTTCTTTATTAAAAGAGTAAAAGATTAAATCAACCGTTATAGTAGTTTACGCAACGATTGCGTAAAGATAGTCAACGAGACGAGTAGAAAACTAACTCGTTACGCGAGTTGTGTACACTACTTTACCTACGACAGTGTTTTAATTACTGAAATTCACTACTCATAACTTCTAAGAGAGGTTATGTTTTCGTTTATAACCTCCCATTGTCACTGACAGTGATGCAACGAAACATTGTACCAAACAATAATTGCTCCACTCAACAATTAAATTGGCCTGAACAGCTGATTAGTTGAAGTTCGAATCATTACAATTTTACTTCTTCTCTCTCAATCCTTGAACTTCATTGGTCCGTTATCCGTTTCGTTATGAGAAAAACTATGCTGTTATGAAAGTAAGCAATGCTGTTATGAAAAACTGTTTCATTCTAAGAACTGTACTGAAACAGCTACTTTAAAAAACGGTCGTAGGTAAAATTGTTAACAGTTTATTTAAATTATGCCTTTAACGATACAATAGTATTCATAAAGGCATACTATTGTATTAATTCTTCTGATTGAAAATAGATTTAATGCCAGTAAACAGAGCACATGTATGTTTGCTTTGGTAATTACGATTACCTCAATATTAAAACGTAACATTAATAAACTGACGTATTATATCTGCCTAAATTTATTTAGCATGTTTTCAAATACAGCTAATATAGTCGCTTTTTCCCTTGGCATTGTTTATAAGACATTCTACTAGATTTAATAGTAATGTTCGTAGTACTGAAAGTCACCAATCGCTATTTACAACAAGGGAATAAATAGTATTCGCCGCACATGCAGCCATAACATTGACCGAGTAACACATTTCTCTATCAATAGCCTGCACCAATGTAACTTTACTTAATTACATATTTCTTGGTATCTAAGTGAAGTCACCCACTAGCTAGCTGACTTGTGCCTAGTCTAGTCACTGTTGGTGATAAGAGGCACCTGGGGATGAGTGGGACTGACAGTCGTGGCTAAATATAACCCTTTCTCTCAACATGCACAGTTCGTTGGTTCATTGTTGAGTGGAACAGCTGACTAACCGCGTGAGTAAGTTTTGTGGATTAGGGAATTGAACATTTTGTGTTTTGTTATGTTTATGGAAAACATTACACTCCTACTATGTTTAATAAATAGATTTTATGTACTAGAGCTTGACAATTATATATAATGGGTTTACGATGATTATGCATAAGCAGAGGGTATAATTTAATACTTAGAAATGTCAATATCGTCGGTTTGATAATGGACCCGGCTGTTCTTAATCATTAGGATTTTATTGATTGATCCCAGCTACGCAAAAGCTAGGTGTACTGAGCCACAAGTTAACAAAATGGATCAACGATAAAGTAAAAACAACGGTTAGTTATAGCCTATGATCAAACAACTGTAGTATTCCTTTCCCCTTACAAACAATTTAAAATACACGTTTACTGTACAATTTTGCAACATGATACGTATCGACACTAAGAAATGCCTTGTACGGAAACCCCTAAACGTTGTGTCCGTTACTTATTGTATGTTTACTGGCAATAATTATAAATTAGATAACTTTTAGTTTTTGGTGAATCTACACAGTACCTTAGCAGAATGTTTTTGGACTATCAAGTTTATTTTACTTGTCACCATATTTTCCTTATTTATTTTACTTAGTTCATATTTTACCATATTTATTGGATTTGAACAGCACAGTCAGAGAGATATAATGCATTCTACCAGAATCGGTGCAACAGTTTGGTTCAATAAGCTCACTGGACTAAACTCTGCCTTTGAAGAGCGAATCATTGTTGTCGTGGAGCCAATGAGACTAAAACACTGCTGCATCTAGTATTAGCTAACTTGCCGCATTGACATACAACCGATCTTACATGATTTAAACTTAAATGTCTTGGTCATCAGTGGTCACGGTGTAGTACCACCGGGACAGCTTCCCTGCGCTGGTTTGTGTACCTTACCTATTTTTAAATAATAGTAAATTATGTTTTGGGTATCTTATCAGATGTACTTACTCGGTTAATAATAGTTCTTAAACTTACATGATTGCAGAGCACTTCAAGGGAGGTTTTAGTTTTTACCTATCGATAATAGAATTGTTCTCAGTTTTTAAATATGCTGTCTTAATTTAAATATAATGATAATTTGAATTATTTTCTTCTTATTAATAGAGAAGGAATAATTCATATAATATGTGATTATTAATTATGAAAATGTCAACACAGATCTTAATATTTAGTTTTGTAAGAGAAGCTTTCCCATAGACAGGCAATAAATTTAATGTAAAATTAACAATGTATACGTTATGAATGTTAATGAAACGTTTATGCGTATTTGTAATTCTAAAATTATTGTTAATGATTTGTATAAGATAACAACCAACTTTAACGATCGTGGAATTATTATTACGTAATGTGTGTACAGGGATTAGTTTTATTTGTCAGGAAACAAAAATCTTCAAATTCAGCTTCAAAGTATAATATACAACAAGAACTTTTACTTATCTCTTATATAAATGGGAATGTTGCCACGTTTTAAACAATTTAAATGAATAGAAAGTGATTCGTAACCCATTTGATAAATACACAATTAACTTAAAATATTCTAACATTATCGTCTGAAGTATTATTTTAACCTACAATGGGTGATAAACCATTTCATTTAGCTTATCGTAAAATCACAACGGCAAAAAAGAAATACACTTACATACGTTTTTAAAATCCTAGCTATGTTTTTTTGGTACTTACGTATTATACGGAGGCCACATATTTTACAGCGCGCTGCAGTGGTTATGTTAGGTTGGGTTATCATAAATATATTTTTTTTATCAAATTAAACTATCTTAACCTAACCTAACCAACCAAACTTGCTGATGGTGAAAAAATCGCATGAAGGTTTACTAATCGAATTGAATCTGTAGGTTAGGTGGCCTCCGTTTAATACGTAAGTACCGTTTTTTTTATGAGGCACATGAAACAATTCCTAATAATTTTAACATCCACAACAATCCTGGTTAGTTGCATGTCTTATTTCTTTTCAAAGGTTTATACATGTAATTTAGTTATTCAAAACGTTTGGTAAAAGTAGGTTTTGTAATGATAAAAATAGACCATTTTTACAATCCTAACTGCAGTGCTCTCCAAATAATACTTTTTGAGCAGACAATAATCAAGAATCACTAGGTTGCAATATAGTTACAATGCCGGCAAAGACGATTTTATTTATTCAGACCATCAATAAAAATCACATAACATCAAAGTTACAAGGGTTTATTGTTTATTACTCCCTAAAACCGTAAAAGTTAAGTAGTTTATTTTATTTTTCTTACCCTAATTCAGTAGAGTTAGGGCTATTGTATTCTAGTACAGTAGTGACGTGGATAATATTACCTGAATTTAAATACAAACAAACATTATTCCGTATTTTAACCTAGTCAGGGACATACATGAGCTGATGTATGATTGAATGTTAACTTTTTTTCATAGTATTGTTGTGTTTCAGGAATAAAGTCACACGTGAGAGATCTATCAGATGCCAAACTGATAGATTGGTGAGTGATTTGACATATTGCCCAATCATTCTTTGCCTAAAACTGATGTTGAATCATTTTAACTGCATATTTATTTTATTAATAATTCATCATTTTACTTTGTAAGTTGATTCTAGTAAACTTCAATAGAGTAAGAACAAATTTCACTTAAAAAAAAAACTTTCAGGGTGTATACAAAATCCCTAAAAAGATGTTGAGTATTAGTTATTTAGGTATAAACAATAAAACTATTATATAAGCATATAGGTAAAAATACCTGGTCTTCTGTCTAATTTTAGATTTTTTTTATATCGATACACTTTAAGCCCCTTAAGACTTTCATTTTGTACATAAGTTGTGACGGGACCAATTAATTGTTGTACAAATTAGATTTCTGAATTCTACCAATTTAAAGTGACGACAGTTTTAAACTTGTAATCTTAAATATCTATAAAGAAATGGAAGATTTTATGTCCCTGGAAGAAATGAAAGAAATTGTATATTAAACCTATTTTGATATCATCAATAAAAGGCTATTTTTTTCTGTATGTACTTTCATTTTTATCTTTTGAATCCATCAAATATCTTTACAACTTGTATTTTATTTACAGGTAATCAAACTTGAAAGACTGTAGTTAAAATAACTCTAACCTAAAAATATTACAAAAGGGCTAAATTCTACACAACCAGGTTTTGACCATTATTTGTCAATAAACTGTTCAAATTAGCGTTATAATATTTACAAAATTAACGACTCGAGTATTATCTCAACCAAAAAATTGAGTGATTCCAGAAGATTCGCTGATGACGCCTACTGCAGCGTAAAATGTTAAAAATATTCCTTCAAGGCCCTTCTTAACCTGCAAATTTGGTTGGAGTCAAATCAACTTTGGTAACCTCGTACTAAAACATACAACAGTAAAACCCGTTGCATGATTTTATACAACAAATTATAACGAGATGAAATAACCAAAAAAATGTAAAGAATTGAAATTTTGAATTTAGGACCAAATACAATGGAAGCTTATTTTTCTTTTCACGAAACTTGTCTAGTACATAACACCATTGCTAAAGATAACCTTTTTCTACAGTTTTCATTGAAAGTGGCATTTTGCAAGGGTAAGTTGTTAAAACAGCTGATTTATCAACATGTTACTTAGCTCACGTTCTATAGAAACTAGAGGACGTCCAGTGGTCGAAATCTTGACCAAAATTAAATATGTAATGAACGGATTTCTCTTAAATAAAACATGTGATTGAAATTTCTCCCATTTCTTTTGATTTTTGTTCATAATACATTGCTATTTTGTCACCAGCAAATTGGTAACCAATGAGGCTCATGTAAATTTTTAAAATTTAAAATTAGTTTTTTTGTGCCTACTTTTGAGCCTATTTTGATTTATAAAGGGATTCTGCACATCTACAGGAATATATCTTTCTAAAAGTATGCGTAGATTTTCCCTGCGATTCGAACGAGATGAGAAAAAATAGGTGTTGAAGAAACTTGCTTGTCTATTAATATGTCGATATGTTTGTTCAATTTCTATCCAAAGTAAGAAACGGTGGTCAGCAAATTTAAAACTAGTTTTCCGTACTGCGAATTCCAACTGAAACACCAAATTTACACAGTCTATCGTAATTTAATAATAATAAACAGCAAATATGCATTATTTACATTGAACTGATTCTTACGTGGAACCTTTTCTAAATAAAATAAACATATGTTTTGGTTTAGTAACGAACAAATTATTAGTTCATAAAGATAATTAACAGTATATAGTCAGTGACATTATAAACTGACCATTTGAAACTATTATAATATAGTAGTATCACAGAAAATTAATTTTAGAAAGAAATCTATTTTCTACAATTTTAGGGCGTATTTGATAATAAGTGACGTTTTCTATAGGAAATAAGTGACAGTCACTAATGTTAATAGTCAATAGTCAATGTTAATATAAAACCTTGTCATAAAAGATGAGTGAGACAGGCTATCTACCGATCTCCTTAGTCCCCTCCAAATATATATGGCTTGCCATAAGCAGACAATGTGCAGGTATTTGTAGCCCGTTCCTTTCAAAGCCACCAGCAATAATCAAAAAGGGGCGTTGAAATGATGAATATAGGGTGGCGTTACAAAGAATGCACCGGTATGATGAAGGAGCATGATGAGTTATATTCTTGTGACGCGTCAAGTGTTGTTCTGACGTTTTGTTCTTAAGAAAATAAGGTGATAACTATAAAATATTAACAAGAATAAGTTGGGAGATCTAAGGCGGGGTTATGGTTGCGTATCGAGACCCGTAAAACTATCCGATGGTTTCCTAACCACTTGATCAGCAACCACAATGATTTTTTTGCAAACTTCTTGTATTTTTACATTTACGTACGCGTGAACGATTGTCAGGGACAATCAACTGATATGACTTTGGATCTCCTTAGTCCTATGTTAAAGAAACATCGCAGTTGATAAAACATAGGAGGGCGAGTTACAAGGAACCATAACGTAGCGTTATAATCTATGATGAACAGTATAGAAACCATATCGATTGATTGTTCAACAGATTGGCTACCACTTAACCTGGGCAATACTAACATTATCAGCTTTACAGCGATGTTTTGCTCAGTTGCGGAGTTTCTAGACAATTTCTTCCATAAATGTCAAACACTTTGTGATGGAAGTCCCAGATGAACGGGAAGCTGGTGAGACACGTGTCACAGCTAAATTTATAACGCTCCGTTGTTGCACATCTCTAATGCTGTAAGACTCGCACGAACCACAACACAACATCTAGTCTGTTTTGTCTTATTGCTTTAGAATCGAAAAGAATCAAGAATATAAATAACTAGATCATTTAGATCTAGATTTTGAAGGTATTGCAAATTTATTTGTTTTCTTATTCTAGCCTAATTGTACTGTAACATTGTTAACCAAATTTTACTTTAACCCTACATTGTAACGATTTTGTAATTTTGTTTAAAAGTTAAAATGTAAAAAAAAATTTAGGGGTCAATATAATCTAAATAAATATTTGAAATGTCAGTTACAGTTGTAGGGTTTAATCATGCTTGTTGTTTAAAATCAGATTGTTTGAGACAGGAAAATTCACATAATGTAATGATGGACAAAAGCTGGTCTGTGATTGGTTACTTTCAAACAATCAGAGAAGATATTCTTGTTATGTATAAATATAACGGTTCCCTGCTCTAGGCCTCAGTTGGTGGAAAGAATTTGTTAAAGTAACGTGTGATTTATTGTAAGGTTTTAATTCTTAGAAATGTGTTCCCAGGATGATCTGTTATGTACCTAAAAATTAATATTATAGCTTTAGTTCATTAATTTCAAAATCATAAATTGAAATATGGTAGGTTTTAAAGTAAAAAATTAATAAAACATGCTTGTTTAAACAATCAATGATTCGATTGTCTCATTTCTTTTTTTTAGGGTTCAAGTTTCATGGGAGAAAAGTAACAAATATTGAAATGAACTTTTATTTTAAACTAAGAAAGGAATTGTTGACCGTTATAAAGAAAGTATGTACGAAGAAAATAATAAAATTTAGTTTGTGTTTCAAAAGTTACTTTTAATAAGACCCAGTAGCCAATAGTTTAATAAAGCTTTTTCTAAATCAAAATGTGCCTCAATAATTATAAAAGTTTAAAATTGACTCTAAATGAGGTTACAACATCTAATGAAACATTCTATATTTAACCTTAATGTATACGTATAAAATATATAGAGGCATAATGGTTGAAACATTAAACCCTTTGTATGTAAATGTATAATCATAATAATGATTTACAGTTTTATTACAAGTATATAATAAAGTAAAATGTGTTAGTGGTGTTAATGAAAAAATAATTAATGCAGACCTGCACAATTTATAGGTAAAACGTAGGCTATCCGTTTGAATATGTTTAAGTAGTAGGATGATGTGTATAAGGACTTTAACATCTATATACTTGAATTACCTTGAAGCATTACATTTTATCATGGTATGCAGAATACCGTAAGATTGTGATTATTTAGGTCACTACGGTATGTAAAAGTTGTATGCTGATTTAAGGCGAGTTGGAATCTTACAGTTAGTTAAAATTGTGATCATTGTATCTACATTCGGTTGGTGCACCGTTAATTTAATGCTGGATTAACATAGGTTGAATTGCCATCATTTTAATGTTTTTATATAGCTAGCTACTTTCCTATTTATTCATCAGTGTATAAAATCATTCAACATACAGTAGCACTAGTTCTTAAAACACCAGTATTGGAGTATGAAATAGCACTGTGGCTTTACAAACATGGTAACCGCACTCTCATGTAATATAAATTAGTTTTACGTCAGTTATCACGGCCATGGTGCAATATGTTTCCAAAGCTGTCCAGCCACAAACATTGTTGTCGGTAACACTAATATAATTTGTATTTTAAATCCTGCATTATAACAAATCAATAGTAGAATAATATTTGCAAAATTACATATAATTTACAGCCTCTTCGAATGTGACTTAGCCGGAAACTCAATAGCTCCATTTCTTGGAATAACTTTACGTACATTCTTCATCACTGTTATTTAAAACTCCAGGTAGATTTTTTGCGGATGTTTACTCATATTGTTTTAAATGTTATAATTTATATAATAAGGAAATAGAACGAAATTGTATTGCAAAATAAGATTAGCTAGGTGACGGTGAAGTAGGTAGATTAGTTCGTCAGTTCAGTCACAGAAAACGTACTAGTACGTTTTCTGTGGTTCAGTTTAGTTATATTGGTCCTTCGATTTTTAAAATCTTTGATGATTCGCCAACACCAACTGTTAAAAGCAACTAATTGTACAAGTTCATAAAAATATTCGATTCTAATAGTTTAATATATTGTCTTTTTTTCCATTGGAGTTTTTCAGTGATGATTCTTTCATGTTGTCAATCAATAGCATGCCAATAAATGAGTTGTAAATGTTACCATCCGAAATATGTGGAAGTATCTGCTATTAGGCAATCCATAAAATTATGGATGTAAT